GAAAGTATAACAAAAAATCCCTGCATGAAACAAGATAAATATGAAATTATCTTCTCCAAAATAATCTTGCCAGCAAAATAATGGGCAATAAGTTGTACATGAGTGGATTCTGATAAATACTGACAGTAAGAAGTTAAAAAAGGAATACATGAGATATATTTGAAAAATATTAATAGAAAATCTTGCATAATAAGCTAAACGATGAGGGGATGTATTACCCAACTGTGCATGGAATTTGCAACAATTAGAGACCAAGTTGGTAGCTTAGAGAGCAATCGCCTAAATGGAGGAATGACTTCTCTTGTTTTCTTTTCATTCTTCGAGAGAGAGGTTACAGCCACCTTGTTCTGTATGTACCTCAACTCATATACTGATATTTGAGGACTTTGTTCAGGAGTGCTCGAGGTTGCAGATACCCAAATTAACACCCAGAGAAAGCCACATAATCCAAATATTACAAATGGTCCAGACAGACCACGCTGTGACATGAGGATTGGAGACAGTGTAAGTCCAATAGCACTTCCAAGCTGAAATCCAGCCATTGCAAGTCCTACAACCCTTGCGCGTTCTGTTTGAGGAAACCATCTGTAAAATTTTTTTAAATAGATTTAACTTTTTGGATTTAGGTTTCCCAACATTCCTTACATCCTGAATGATAAAATGATGTGAAAAAGAAAAATCACATTTGAGGGATTTTAAAGCTTGGTACCTCGCTATCATATTGTTCATACAAGGAAGCGCTACACCTTCTGCTATGCCGAGCAACATTCTCACGGCAAGCAGTGCCAAAACAGATGTTTCTGCAGCCCAAGGAGTTAGGAAGGTGGCCAAAGACCACAAAGCTACTCCCCACGCCATGACTACCTTACCACCATAATAGTCCACCAGTGTCCCTCCAGGTATAGGTGATATCATGTATCCCCAGAGAAAAGATGACTACCATTAATGAAATTTACCCCAATCAGAGGCAGTCATAGTTACCCAAAACTACAGTTGAAAAATAACGAGGTAGTATATATCTTTATGCTATATATATGTATATGCTTCAATTTTTTTATAAAAACTCAATAATGAATTTATTCCCGTTCTTATATATTTATTCTTTACATGGTGCCAAGAGGATGCCACCCATTTACAAAAGAATAATTATTAGTTCTCTAAATTATATGCATTCTACTAGAAGTTGGTGAAAGATAGATAACCCACAGGTAAATACTTGAATCCATAAAAATGTTATAGTGCTGCAAAGTATTTTCTATAGCCTCAAATTTGCGTCTATTTCTATATATCACCTAGAAAAACTGCACAATAGCGCTGTATCCGAATCCCAGTTGTCCTCCATACAACTCCAACTTAAGAAACAGTGCTTCATGCACAAGGCATTTTCCATCGTGGCCAGTAGGTGAAGAGAACAGGGACCATAGTGCTTGAACCACTGATTTCTATACCATGGCTCAGCTGAGAGTTACAATCTTTGACACACCATAACCTGATGGTGCTACTTGCCATACACGAGACCTACCCCATTGCACATCTAGTTAGGCTCTGTGCACTGATGATGCGCTTCAGGTGGCAGGTGTAATAAGTTGGTATAATAAGTCATTTGGAAATATTTTGAAAAGCAATATTAAAAAAATTCCCTATTCTGGGCCCAAATTAAGATGTAGAATCCATATTATACTTGTAACTATCCACAGGCACATCAATAGTGAACTTACGGAAAAATTCTTAGGAACTGTCTATTAATTTTTATATATATTACATGCAAGAGTTCCCACCCCCATACTACCAACTGAGTTTATTATAATATCATGTAACTAGCTAATGAAAAACATTACCCAACTTCAATAATTACTTGCAACTGCGTAATTCTTCTTCTCTAATGAGTAATAGTGCACAACAACTATAGTAATGTATTTCCTTTTTTTAAGAGAAGACACACGAAAGCATCTGTACTAGGCTTGCATGAGCAGCAAACCTTTAATACGGTAATTCATCCCAGATACTTCCACAAGCTGCACATAAAGATGAGTATTCAATGCAGATAGCTCATTACAAAACACAATAATTAGAAATTCAGTTCCATACAGTAAATTGAGCAGCAAAGACATCTAACAATTCCGTGTACATTTCTATTTCATACCAGAGGAAAAGTTGAATAAAACACTAATTCAAATCGAAACGGGGAGGAGGCTTTTACCTGAACAACGCCTGCAAAAGATTGACGCCAACCATGAGCGAGTGAAAGCGGCACAATAGCCACGGACATGACAACGCGGTCAGCATTACACAACGCCAAAGCTAATGCAAGCATTGCCACCACTTTGACTCTCTCTGAAGTAATAAATTCCAAAAAACTGGGCTCTCGTACCTCATTTTGGTCACCAAAAGAAGAACTGCCCGCGATAGATTGAGCATCATTTGATGAAGCCCTTAATCGATTCGATTCAAAATACCGGGTTTTATACGAGAATTTTGCTGTGAAACGATTATTCAGAGAACAGAAAGTTCTAAAGGAGTTTGTGAAGATTGTACCAGGTAATTTAACGTTAGAAAAGTTGTGGGTTTTGTAGTGTTTAGGGTTTTGGAGGATTGGAATTTGGTTTGTGCTATGGTGTCGACTGAGAGCGATAGGAGCATTCATGGCCGCCGATTACTTTATCTCAAAGTATACTTCAAATTATCGCGAATTCTGCTGCCTGTAAATTTTTTGTTAGAATTAAAATCTTCGTTTTGCAATTTTTAAAGTTTTCTGCGAATTGATCAACCTAATGTGGGACTGAAGTTTGGCTGATCACTCTACTCGATAATGAAATCTATTATCAACTTTCTCATAAAATCCATAATGAATTTGTTGGTTGCTTTTGTCTAGTCATTTTGTGCTTAAAGAAACGCAATTTCTTATTTGGAAAAGCGGCCTTTGATTCCGGCCAAACACATCACATCATGACCAGGAAAATGTTCAGAATTGGAATTATTCTAGATTTACAGGACCTCCAACGGGGTGCCAAACCTCCCATCTATAGGAGCGCCACTTGGCGTCCTATTTGACCTAGAATACATTTTTCTCTTTTTTTAGAGCATGTTTGGACCGGATTAAAATCTGATTTTAATTTAAGTTAAAGTCAAACAATTAATATTAACCACATCTTTTTAACCACACATTTTAAAAACTTCTATCACAATCCACTAAAAATCTATTTTTAGTCATCACCAAACACCATTTGAATCATACAATTTTTAATAAAATAATATTACACATAAATCGAAAATTTTTCCTTTTTTTTTTTTTCAATCACTCATTCTAAAAAAAAAATACTATTCGAAAAATCACAATACCAAATAATGGAACCAAATGGGGAAATTACTTGGATTTACCAAGATTTTTTTAACTACACTTTAGTCCCTATTTGATAGAAATTTTTCTAGAATATATTTTGTGAAAATTGATTATTTTGAATAAATTGTGATTAGAAAGAAATAAAAAATTATGAATTCGTGTGTAAAATTATTTTATTGAAAGATTGCGTGATTAAAAATTAGTTTGAAAAAAAAAAATGAGTTTAGAAAAATAGAGCCAAACATGAACTTCAAAATTTCATAATTAAGAGGATTACAATATAAAATTCAAAATTAAGAAATAAGTTTTAAATCTTCAAAACTGATAATTAAATTATATTAAATAAATAAATAAATGTATAACTTTTTTTACTAATCAGATATATTAATATTATTACAATTCTATATAATTTGGTGACAAATTATCAAATTAATTGGCCACTAATTATTTCTCGATCACAAATAAAAAAATTTATATGTCACAATTTATTTATCGATCAAAAATCACAAATTTTATAAGTCACGACTTATTTTACGATCACAAAGTATCAAATTAATTAGTCACAAGTTATTTCCCGATCACAACTTAATAAATTGTGAATTGTGATCACATTTTTTACGTCACATATTATTTAGCCACAAATTAACCAATTTATTGACAACAATCAACCAAATAATTAGTCACAAACACCCTTACCCTACACCAGCCCACGTCATCCCACCCACAACCACCGCACCACCACCACGACAACCATCGTCGTCGTCGTCGACCACCACATTACCAACACTATTAACATCACCACCACCTCATCCAACACCACAATCACTACCACCCAAATACTACCAAAAAATCAAATCTAAATTATTAGTCACCGCCCGACCACCACCAACATCACCATCACCACCACCACCTCATCAGCACCGCTAACGTCACCATCACCTCACCACCGCAACCAACATCACAACCACCACCACCACCCAAACACCATCGAAAAATCAGATCCAAAATTATCACAGTCGTTGCTTCGACATCTCGGCATCGAGCGATGACAACAGTCTCGGCATTATCACAGTTACTGCTTTCAAAAGCGACTATTGAAGATTTGTAGTGGCATCTTGGCATCGCGTGTCTGCAGCAACATCCTAGCATCGAGCGACTGTGCATTATGCATCTGTAGCATTTTTATCACAGTGGCTGCTCTCAGAGCGATGCCATTATGAAGGTGTCGTGAGTGCCAGGCCGACGGGGCCATAATCAGTTGAATGCCGCTTCGACGGTACCTCTGATGATGGGATGTAGTAAAGAGATATAGAGAGAGAGAGAGATGAGAGTGGAAAGAAATTAGGATTTGTGATGAAATTTGGCAAGGTGAATGGAGATGGGATTGGTAGGCACGTATATAAATTAATTTAATTTATCATTTGATTTTGTATAAACAAATTTTAAATTTGATT